GCAATCACGAAAGCTTTAAATCAAAAGGACTATATGTATGCGCGTATTATATACGGTACACCTATTACTGTAGTCTGCCAAGTTGCGATTTAAACCTTGGGGAATCTTGCCAGACTTACAAAGGGGATCCTTACCTTGACGATCAGAAAGGACTATTGTAAGTTATACGAAGGGCGTGGTTTAAATACATTGACGAACATATAGAACAGGCTGTATCTGCCAGTAGAATGGTACACACTGGATAGGTTTTTAAAGCCGTCAGCATGTTATTGCTCTTCCCTTGCTTGCTGTGGCATGAAGCGCTTCTGGCGGTGGGAAAAACACCGGTGTACCCAGTATGGTGCATGAAGCGGGGCACATTTCTTGAATGACTGTTTTCAGCTTTTATGCAAGGTTATCATTTGCTGCAACTGAGTTTAAATACACAGCTTGGGTGTTAGCAAAATGTCATTAACCTATTGGCAAAATTTTGGACAATGCTTTGCATCAAAAATGTCATGCTGTAGAGTTAGTAGTGTGCATCCCTTTGCGAGGTTTTTACTTTGAAAATACAATTTTACCTGCACAAGATTGATATCGATTGACTTTATTTTAACCAGGTGATAACCCAATCAACCTTCAAGTCTTAATTCAAGAGAGGCTTTTGTCAACGACTCAACCAAAACATTACAGTCCAGAAAAACCTCGCCGAACATGGTTTGATCGAACGAGTGTTGAGGCCAATGTCCTTAATTGCAAGGCCCACGGGGCCACTAGTGGCCCCTGGTGGCCTTTCGTGCGGCCCCTCACAATGCACACATTTGAGAACACTCATCTTGCTGCTGTCAAACCCCAATGGTTTAAAATGTGTGGCTGGCCTCACACTGCTGTCTTATCGGCGAAAGTGGCCCCCCTCCGGTTTAGGCTGTTCACGGTTTACTTAATGTGGCCTTTTTCAGAACATGGGGTTGATGTTTCGGCTCACACTGCTGTCTTATCGGTGAAAGTAGCCCCCCTCTGGTTTAGGCTGTTCACGGTTTACTTAATGTGGCCTTTTTCAGAACATGGGGTTGATGTTTCGGCTATGTGCAGTTTGACATTGCTAAGATAGGTAGGCTTACGGGTGAGTGCTGCATTGGTTGGATGGTAGTATGGCGTGAATTAATCGACGGTGAGAACGATTTATACACATGTTTTTTTGTGTGATGCAACGCATACAGTACTCAACATGCTCACGCACAATGCAAATGTTCACACATGTTGCCACATGCATCGAGCTGTCCGCTTCGGACAATAATTTTTCACAATACAAAATTAACAATAAAGAACATACATATTAAAACGATTGAATAATAATTTATTTAAAACAAAAATAATTAACCTTTTAAGGAGTGATGTGGAGGCGTTATTGTTGCACTGTAGGGATGCTGTGACTCGCGGATGGATGACGCTATCTCGCATGTGCTTACTGTTTGATCTCATTACACGTGCTATGTGAAATTTCGTTCACGCGGAAATTTGATTTCGTTACTCGAAAAGTGTTTATAATTTGTCAATTGCGTTAACACGAAATTTCGTAAATTGAATGTTCGTAAATTGAGAGATACCTGTACAAGCCTGACATGTGCAATTGAAACAAAACATTAAGAAAATGTGATTGTACCTACTGTGACAATACATCTTAATTGTAAACACTAACCATTACCAGAAAAAATACATTTAATTAAAACTGATATATTACAATAGCAACACTTAAGATTCAGAGTAAATAATACATTGAAAAACCCCCCACTATTCTTGCCTCTGTCACCTTTCTCTAATATTTCGATTGCTGGATTCCTTTTGGTTGCCATTCTTCTGATTCATCCATTGTGCATCGATATGTGTGGAGGTGATATAACAACAACGATCAAAAGTGGGTTGTACAGTTTTTAAATGAAGATGGGGCATGGGTATATCTTACAACATTCATGTGTGCGAGTTATCAAATTTTACCAGGACACCGGCTCAATTGTTTAAGCTTGGAGCAAATGCAAATTGCTGTCTGTGGCACGGAGCTCGTTGTGTATGGTCAAGGTATGGCAAGGTTTTTTTTGCGAAACAATTTTTTTATTTAGCAAAAAAGATTTATCTCATGTAAATGGAGACTTCTCAAGCGTCCACACCCAATTTCCTCCCATCGCCTCTGGATTGGACATCATCTGCTGAGGAGCGCCTGAGCGGGGGGGGGGAGTTAGTTATGCTTCAGATTTGCGTAGTTTTCGCTCTTTATAATTTCACATACTTTCCCCCCTCCCTTTTCCCCTCTCGCTTACCAGCCTTATCTGTATGTTGCTACCGTTTTGTATCCTGATAATGTACTCTTTTTCATTTAGCTTTGTCGGGATTCATTACTTTTTGGTGCTCCAAATTGGTTGCAGGGTTGTTCGAATTGAAGTGATTCCTTAGGAGAAGTTGTTATGGCAGCAATCGATGCAAAACATGACCCAGCAGCTAACATAAATTAGCAATGAGAAATTATTACACCGCCACCTTACAGTTAAGACTGGACATTTAAGGGTAGAACGACGCGTACATTTATATATAAAAACATGTATTCATCAGCCTGCAGTGTGTCCATCGCATTGTCTGGAATCCCTTGTTTTTAGATTCGTATATGTTGTAAGTGTAAATGAAAAATATATATTTTCTCAAATCGAAACAGTACGGTGAATCACGACAGTCCATCAAATCGCCAAGGGGTGAATCGTTAGACCAATATAATTTTTAACTATTGTAAAAAAAAAAATTACACAAGTTATACTCCACTATCAGGTGACCTTGACACAATACATTTGTAATGGTTGCCAAAGTATGTAATTGATATTTACAAGATTTAATGCACATTAAATTCTAAATTAGTTTTTGTTTAAGATTCATCATAAGGACATTGGTGGTAATTGGTAAGCAGTAGCTTTGTTCTGGTGTCGATAAGTCATTGAGCCTTTTTAGGCATGCTTTCTTAATTTCTCTGTTATGTTGGTTCCACACCGTTGTGTACTTTGTACATTCAGCATCACATGGTGCTTTTAGGATAGCTGTGCAACGAAAAATAATGAATACCCCAGTCTCTGCATTTGCAATGCTATAAATGTTATTGCTGCAGCCAACTTGTTAATATGTTTACTTTATTTTAGCGCATATCGGTTGCAAGTATGAAACATTTAATTGGGATCAGTAGGATTTTTAAGCAAACTTCTGATTCATTAATTGTAACCACAGTTGATAGCTCATCAGCTATGTTCTCTAAACGACTCTATGAAGGCAATCCAACATCTTCTGTATCCTTCATGGTTCCTGTAATCCCACAATCCATCTTGCTCCTGCCCATAATCTCATCTCATTACTGTCTCTAGCGGTCATCCTCTCAGCAGTGTTACCACCTGTGGCTGCCATTCCATCACGAGGCTCATCTTTTGGCTAGCACCTATTCTAGCAATGTGTCCTTCCCAAACCCACTTGACAGTCAACAGGATGTCTTACATGTGTTGGTTCTTTGATCCACCCGTTCGTCTTCCTGTTTCATTGTAATTCCAAGCATACATCTCTCCATGCTTCCTAAGTATTTTCAGAAATTGTTCCATATTATTTTGACACATTTTCTCTGTCAATTGTTATTCATCAATAACCTTGCAAACGACCGAAATCGACAATATATGGAGACTGCTGTGTAAAGCATAGCAATATCTGAATGGTCATTGTTTACAATGGGATGAAACATCACACGTTGGAGACAACATTGCTCACTTTTCAGCTTGCACAATATGGTACACTTAACCAAACAATACCGTGGTGCTTTTAGAGATGCACATGAACTGACAATTAATGTGGTAGTGCTGCGATTTTTCACTTGAATGCCCTCATTTTTTCTCTCATTTCTAAGTGCTCTTGAGGAGCACAAAAGACAGGATACTGTATCGGCAGCAGATTCCGATTTTGCTCGAAGGTTTTATTTGAACGCGTACATATGGAACAAGAAATGTTTCGAAAAAAATTAGAGACGTTATTGCAAATGCTGCTCAGAAGTAGCCCCCAGACTAAAATGAATAAAACGATTATTTGCTCTTTGATTTGTGTGGATTATGTTTATTTCTCATTTTAATTAGATAATTGGTGACAGTTTATGGAGTGTTAAAAAAGTAGGGAAAATATTGAACTACTAGCCTTTTGCCCGTCCAAGGACGGGTATATTGCAGTAAATCTAAAACTTGCAAGTGAAAAGCAGACCGTGACGCGATATTTATTGCATTAATGCGTGTGCAGTTTGTAAGGGCGCGGTGACACAGACCTATTTCATTTTAAGGTTATAATCCATTGTTCTTTGGGTCTTTCGGTAAAGTCACGTAGATGGGTTCAAAAAAAACTACGACGTCTCGATCGCAACACAAGCGGTCGTCATCAGGAAAAGGGGGGTTAACATCACCTGCTCATGATTATTAATGAGGGGTCTGGGGGGGCTGGTCGATGTGGAGTGACATCACGAGCATTAAGGACAGACATTCCTGGGTGATTATAGTAGGTATCATGCTGTATATCATGTATAGTCCAATTGACGTTCAACATATGTGGTTTGCCTGTTATCAACACCAAGCTGTCATTTTCAAGACATAATAAAATAGGTTCTAGGGCTTTGACATTTAGACTGAGTTGGGTCCAGAATGCAGTAAGCAATTTCTTACAATGGTTGGAAATGCTTTTTAAAAACATTCTGATACATCACACTACAATAATAGTATTGAGATATTACAAAACCTAATTATCATGTGGGATGCATTGCTTGCAGATTTCGAATGCAGTTAATAGTGGCACTCGTCGTGCAGCTTAGAATTGAGGGTAGCATCCCAAATAAATGAATCTATTCGAGACTGTTAGACGTTTTGATGTGTTGCACTGACGTGTTTCGTGAATCATTAATAATGAGAAGGCAAGAAAGATTTTAATCATTACCTTTGGTGTTTGCCCCCTTTTTTTTCCCCCCGCAGGTCAACAATCTGGAACCAGTGGAAGGAGGAGAGGGGATGGACATGAAAGGTAATGGCCTGATGAAGCAAGGAGATGGGAATGAGTCAAGGTTGGAGTCTGCATTGCCTGTTAACGGCATGTCCTACAGTCCTGAACCCTCGTAAGTGTCATCAGCAAGGTGGAGTGCACACGCGGGACGAGCTCCTGTTTTAGCAGTCGCGACTGTATTGGACCTTTTCTGGTGCTTTTCTTCCAATAAATTCTCCCAACACAAGTGCAACAGCTTATTTTGTACAGCACGGGCACTTTTTCTTTTTTTAACTTGTCATTTTGCTTCAAGGAAAGCGAAACCTAAAAATGTACGTTGTTCAGACACGCGTAGGCTGTCTGGGGCTGTCAAAATGTTTCATTCAGAGCCCTTTGTTAATAAGAACTAGTGCACATTAATGAGATCCCAATGTTGAAATGTGTGCAACCGTCTTCACCTTGTCATAATGTCAAAGGGGTATAACTTTTTATTATTATACAATAAAGTGAATGGCCCGAGTTGATACGAGATCAAGATATGCTCCGCGACCCATTTTGAAACTTAAACTCGCGCCTGTTATTGAATTCAGCTGATTGGTAAGGCAGCTTGTAATGTGGAACCAAAAAAGGCAGATCTCCTTACATAGCCTTTAACAGACTGTTCGGGGGCAAGTGATGTTAGCAAGCACCTCTTACAGCCGGAATGGCACACGAGGGGATGGGGTGGCCAGTACCATGCGAGTGCTAATGTTTATACACGGCACCAGGCACTCATTTAAGGCTGAGTCCACTTAGAGGAGGCCCAGGACTAGTTCATAAATTCTTCATTGATCTTAGCCGTGCGCGAGAATCGACATTGGCTTGCTAGGTTCATAGCACAGTGTGATAACCATTGCTCCACTGCTGCATTGTGGGATGACCAACTCGAAGGCACATATACCTTAACAATGGCATGGTGGCATATTGTTCAGCTGGATGCCACGCAAGTTTTTTTTCTTTTAAAATGTACTCCAACTGCAGTATGTTGAATTTACATCATGATGCAGGGGTGGGACACCTATGGCCCATGGGCTAGATATGGTCCATTATTTCATTTTGAAACAAACCTGCAGCCACACATTTTGAAACGGCCAAAACAAGCATATTTATTGTTAGAGTGAATATTTTTTGACCTGCCTAAAACGGTTTTTCTAATTTTAGCATGCTCAGTCACTTCTCTTGCTGCAAGGACCTCACTATGCTGGTCATTAATACACTGAATGCTGGTAGAGCAACAATCACTGTCTGTACCCATCCACTCTTTTGTGTGTCTGTGTCAAGGCTCCCAGTTATTTGATTGATTTGTGAAATATTGAAACAAAAAGCAATGTTTTTGGATGGTTATGGTTTCAGACAACGTAGGTTTATGCAATACAGTATAGTATATTGACACTGTATCGGGGTTTGTGTTTATCACAATATAATTGATGTTTCATATTAATGTCATTGTTTAGGTCCAGTTTTCTCAAATTCCATACCTTATAACTCATCTACTTTTCAACATTTACGAATGCTGTCCAAGTACAAACTAAGTGGTTACACAGTGCACACGCCTTATGAATGGTAAACATATCTCATGTAATAGAATGGTGATTCAAGTTCAGATACAGATCGTGTGTTCCACAGTGAGATACAGCTCTTAATTTGATTTGATTTGGCACTGCATTCCAGTCATATATAACAATCATCAGGTATGTGCAGCATGTAATGACTTAAATTGTATTTGAACAGATAAGGTGAACAAACGTATAAAGGTTGGACCCCTTGCAGGGTCGTGAGGATGGTGGTTTTGAAAACCTTTATCTAATCGTGACAACTTGTGTGTTTAAGCTCTGCATGTGAATTGCGTTTCTGTCGTGGCAGTTCAATTGAGTGCACAAAGTTTGAAAGCAAGTCTTTAGGAAAGATGACGGCTCTTCTGGTGTACAGTAAAACAATCCCCCAAACCTGAATCCTCAAAATTGGGATTCTTCAACGAACATAGGATGAAAGCATTTGGTGGAGGCCTGGAAAGCTGCTTCAGCAAAAAAAAAAAGACTTATCCACTAGGATATCAATAATAGCTTCTTGTGTGTGGTGTAGAGACTAATACAGGGTTGTGGAATAACACTGTTATTCATTATTTATTTTCTTTTAAAGGAACATTTCTGCCAGTGTTTCTTTTGAAAAATTAATTTGGGGCTGGGCGGGGTGGGGCTGGGCGGGGTGGGGCTGGGCGGGGTGGGGCTGGGCGGGGTGGGGCTGGGTGGGGTGGGGCTGGGTGGGGTGGGGCTGGGTGGGGTGGGGCTGGGTGGGGTGGGGCTGGTCACCCCGTGGTGCCCTTATAAAACTCAACGTTTAACCTACTCACGCCGGCTTGTGCCCGCCCTCAAAGTCGGGCATATTTGCGGAATACACCACGCCGCCGTTGACCCTGGCCACTAACCGAGCAACCAACGTTCCTCCCAGCCCCCTCCGCCGGAATGTGTTTTATAGTTTATTATTTTCTTTTTAGTCTTCGCCGCTCGTAGGGTTGTGGAATGTTATGGAGGGGGGGAAGCAGTTAAAAGCCACTGACATAGTTGTCCGTTGTCAGATGTTACAAAATCCTTGAGTCATCTCGCCATGGCAAAACCAGGTTGACTCAACTTCTGAAGAAGCTGAAACCTGTTTCACTTTGTTTAACGGACAGTACAATATTTAGCAGCTTTTAAAGAAAATGCCTTTTTCACCTTACAAAATCCCCAAACAAATTATATCCCGATTATGGCTTCTATCTAAAAATGTAGTTTTTTCAGACAATGATGTGGATATGTACTGTAAATAATATTTTCTACTTTGTTTAATGTCAGATTTTAAAGTGATATAATTCATGTTAATGTAATATATATGCAGCAGTTCTTAAACAGTCTTTTTATGCGATTTACCTTATCTAAAGGCCATTCCTTTTCTGAATACACACTGGATCATTGGGTTCCTTAGGGTAGATTTTAAATTGAATCTCTTTGTGGATCTAATGCGAAAAAGATTATGAAAAGACCTTAGAGAATTACGCCTCATTTAGGTCCACGAGTGTCCTTTTTTTGTGCAAACTACTTGGTCTGGTTTCCATCCCTAATTAGCAACATGTAAGCTTTGTCATAACTAAAGTCTGAAAATCCAAGCACCACATGCAGCGATGTAGCAGCTTCACGATTGGCCGCACACAGAACATGATTAGATTCCTCACATTCCTCAAAAGACCACTTATATTTTGTTGATTGGATTTGTTTAAGCCTTTCCCTTAATAGTCTGCTCCCTACTGCGTTTTTCAGCCCACTAGCCATTGGCATACACATCATTGCTCCTTCCTTGTGCAGAAGCGAAATGCATGTTTATATGCACGTGTTGCAACTTCTTTATGCGTGGAGCTGTGGCGCAATCATTAGCGGCACTGTGCTATGAACTCCATTCTCATCAGTTTGATTCCTGGCCATGACTCACATAGTGGAGAGTGATATCCTAATCGGTCCTGAGCCCTTGCCACTCCTTTACAACCAACACTTCATTTACCAGTATGATGAAGTATGGTCAATCAACCCCCACAGCTAACACGGCGTGGGGGGGGGGCCTTCATCCAGCAGTGGATTGACAGTGCTTGACATTTACAAGTGATTATATATTTTACTTTAAGCGCAGAAGATCCCTGGTTTTGATCTTGCACGAAGTTCATGTTCCACCCTCGCACAAACCATGGCGGATGCAAATCCCTGATGTAAAATAAAAATGCTCCAGTGTGCGACTGTGTTCATCCACAACAGACCATACAACATATAATAACGCGATGCCTGATCCACATACGAAGGAGACTTGTTGAACTTCTTTCGCACCGTACTTAGCCAACATTGCTAATCGGAGGTGCCGGGGGAAGGACAACAATCGAAAACATGATACACTCTGCTGCTCCTGAGGAAGTTGTCTGGCCTGACCACCTGAATGTGAAATGTATACTTGTTGCTCTCTGCATCTACATCAGCCATACAAAAGAAGATGCTTTTTAAATGCACAATAATGTTTGGTTCTCGTGGCGGTGGTGGTGGTCACGTGTGCTGCTTAGGGCTCCGTCTCACGCGGTCCCCCTGATGAACTCGCAGCCCTCCCGGCCTCTGAGCAGCGACTCGTCAGAGCCGCGCCAGCCCCCGAAGCGCCGGCCGCGGCGCAAGCGCAAGCCCAAAGCACAGCAGCACGACGGCGAGGAATCGTACTATGACACGGACTACACAACCGGCGCCGAGTCCTGCGAAGAGCTCGACGAGCAGGATGATGACCTGGAGAGGTAGGTGACCCCCCCTCCCCCCCCCCCCACCCATTATCCGCGTACCCACGTTTACGTCGTCATCCAGCTTTCGTGCCAGCGACTGTTATTTTAGTCCTCGTGTTAGTCTGGTTGACGACGACCTGTGGGATATCAGCCAAGTGTTTGGCCACGCCATTTAATCTAGTATTTTTTTCGAGAGTAGTCGATGTGAGTGGCCAAAAATATCGTCCACTCTTAGTCATTACTTGTTGGAATAATGGGCAAGACATTTTATTCCCCACCAATTAGATCAGGTCAGCCCATTAGTGAAGTTCATACTTGTTTATATAGATATAAATAAAATTACCATTTCTGTTATTCATTAGTCCACTGCTGTCTCTTGTAACATTACTACATTATTATCGTATCTTCATTCAGAGTCATTAATTTAATCTCATTAGTCTTTGGTGTGCAGGTCTTGGAGTAGTCATTATCATGCTTTGATGGTTATAGTCTACCCATAATCACCGTTGACCAAAATAGAAAACACTTTGTTGGGAAATATTTTAATCAATCACGAATTTCTCTCATGGAGTAAAAACGACTTGTGAGCTGGCCCTTGGAAATATCCCGAGTATAATTATCTCTGATAACTTTGACACCATCCAGGTTGTTGTGTGGAGCTCATATTCGCCATCAATTGGCATGCTTGTTATGGATTAGCCATAATTCCCAAAGTCGAATTCTATTCAGCAAGGGACATATCCTTATTTTATCAATGTCATATTTGCCAAGTAATGCCCTAACATATACATTTATGGATGATTTCACAAGAATTTCTCTGATTAAAACATTTTACGTGACAAGGTCCCTTAGGTTTTTTTCATTAATTGCTTACAAGGCCAAGACCATAAACGTCTTACCCTTCAGAACTTGGTTTAATCACAAGGTGGCTGTAATTCAGATTTGAAGCCAGGATCTCAGTTTTGCTGGCTATGTGCCCTGACCCCTGAGCCACCTGCTGGAACAGTAGCGTAGTGGTTTGTGCACTGCACTACGAATATGTGTTCGATTCCCAGCTACCTTCATTGGCGAGTGATATCTGAACCGGCTCTGGGGCACCCCTTGACCAATCTTCACTGACCAGCATTGTAATGTATGGTAAACAAAATCCCATGGCTTAGGGAGACCATCCAGTGGTGGATTAACAAATGGATGAAAATAATTAAATTATCTAACATTTCAGTGCCCTAAAACAATGCACCAGATGGGGTCCGTTCCTCATCCACCTCTGTCGACTACATGACTTTTATTGTAACACCACGTGACCCAGATGCAATACCTCAATCTTACGAAATCTCACTTGGTGAATGAACGGATCTTGCATCTGGCACTTCTAAAGACAAAAGTCGATTGAAACATCATTGGAAACTTGCAAGTGAATAAAAAAATATGACCAAATATATTCTAATTATATATTCTAAATGCACTGCATAATAAAAAAAAGTGTAATCAGTAGCAAATAAAAATAATCACCGCAGTGGGTCAGTGGCAGGCCATGCTGGCTCATTGAATTGGCAAACATTAGCAATGAGGTGGACGAAAGAGCTGAAAGCAAGGGACATTGTGAGCTGTTCTTTGCACACTACACCTACATGTTTTGCGCCGTAGTTCGTTCGTTCTGTGATTGCCCGCATTCTGCACGCTGCAGACAGGCCGGCCGCCCTGTCCTCCCACATCTCTCGAACATGGGCAGTTCTGTGATTTGGGATGTACATTTCAGACACTTTAAAGATGTTGGTGATACTTGGTATAGTCATAGAATGGGTATATTAAGCAAAGCAGTTAGGATTGTAATTCTGATAGAAATAATTAGTTCAACTTGATATTGATGAACTGCTCATGAAACAGCACGTTATCCGACATACTCAGGAAAACTGTCCTTTTTTTTGCCATGCTGGGATGGTGATGGTGCATTTACTTTTGTCTATTTGTAAAACCATTGACTTAGTCAATACATCAGCTGTATCTTCGAATCCCGTAGATATTTATCTTCAAATATCAACCCATGATTTTAAACCTTTCACTTTGAAGTTGCCTAATGTAGAGAAACACCTAATTGTGACAATATCTTGGCATTATGGGGTAAATAACATTTATTCTTAGCCAATTACAGGTTAGAAAACTACTTGATTTTTTGGACGATCACGAGCGGAAATATTCTACCCAACAGGCCAGTTAACTTGGAACTCGGGTTTTCCATTACACCTCATGTGAGTTTCAGCAGACCTTGGCACTCATTAACAGGGACAATACCCCATAGATTATGGAAGTCTGAGTCCTGTAACATTCCCCTGTACACCCTAGAACAGGAATTGGCAACCAATATAATAAGAGCCAATTTTTTTCAAATTCGGTAAAAAATCATATTTAAAGAGCCGCAATGCATTTGAATAAATAACACCGCGAAGCAGACCTTAAACAGCCACATACGGCCCCGCAGCCGCAGGTTGCTAACCCATAACCCTAGAGGGTGGACTGGTGAAGCACAAAGCTAGATATCATATGGCAGCCATCACACCGGCACCTTTATAAGCAAGTCCCTGGGAAAGCCACGAGCACAGGGCAGTGTTTTGTTTCGCCAACAGGTCAAAACTTGCAGTCCACAGGAATGTATGCGCAGCAACGCATAGTGTATACAAGTAGCCGTGACATATGCACTTCCAAACTAGGGCTGGCTCTGCCAACAGATAAAAGGCCTGCAGTCTTTCCAAAATGACCTCCATGATAAAAGACATGTCTTCAATAATGGCCATGACCCACACATCTCTAACCAAGTGCTGGCATTGCCAGATGGTAGATATATAGTCATCTTAGAATTAATGGTGCAACAGAGAGTGTGAACAGAGTAGTGTGCTATGATCTACGTACCCTTTGTATAAGTGCTGGCTTTATCGGGAGGCTTAGGACATAACACACCAACTATAATTATGGGCCCAGCACAATAACTACATGAACTCATGGCCATGATATTCAGAACGTTTTTCGCGCAGTTAGCATTAAATGTGTAGAAACAAATGCCTCTGCGCCGGTAGGCATCTTATCGATTGATCTATTTAATTGGTTCTTAATGATAATTGTTGTTTTACCCTTTTATCTGGCAACAAAAATGACACATTTTTTTACAAGGAGTCATGTTTGCATTGACCACAATACCTGCGGTCGGAATGCAAACAAAAAACATAACTCTGATAATGTATGCACTGTCCTTGAAATTGATTGGTCCACACCCGTGACAGCTTTCCTTTGAGCCTAGTCTCACATGGTGTTGGACCAGATGACGCCAAAAGGCGCACAACTCAAAGACAATGCACCATCAGAGTATGAGGGCTCGGGGTAAGCATTTACACCATTGGAACCTCCGTTGCCAGTAGAAAAATATGATAATTGTTTTTTACTCTTTTATCTGGCAACAAAATTGACACCTTTTTGTGTTTTGTTTGCATTCCGGCTGCAGGTATTGTGGCCAATGACTCCTTGGAAAAAAACGGTGTCATTTTTGTTGCCAGATAAAAGGGTAAAAAAAACAATTATCATATTTTGCTACTTGCAAAGGAGGTTACAATGGTGGTTCTTAATGCTCAGGATACATGTATGTAACAATTACTATGGTTTATTGTTATGCGTTGCTATTAGTTCACGTGACCCACTGCAGCCGCTAGAGGTGCTACATTCAACGTGTAAAAATAAATCGTGAAAAGAATCATGATCCCAAATGTAAACAGTTTATTGAATTGCGAGGAGGCGAATCATTACATGCCTATGGCTTTGCCTTCAAAGTGAGGACCTGCAATGGAGGTCTCTTCAAAAGCTGCTCTTGTCCACATTTAGAAACATGCATTTCGATTATTTATCTGTTATACCTTTCCACAAAATAAGCCACTTCGTTGACTCATCATTTGTGGCCAGGCCGCTTCTGAAAAGGAAGCTAATAGTTGTGTGGGCTTTACCAGGTAAAATACAATAGTTTAGTTTTATCAGTATATATTTTTTTAGTGATTTGCTTACCTTTCCTATACTTTGCACTATCGTGTTTTTGTATTGTCGATGTAAGTTTCTGACCCGCCACTACTAGACATCCATGAAAAATAACATTTGCTTCGATAAGCACGGTTGGCTACGTACGGTGCGAAAGAAGTGTTCTACGTACAGTAAAACATTGGATTGCGAGTAACTTGGTCTGCGAGTGTTTTGCAAAACGAGCAAAATTTTTAAATAAATATTAATTTGATAAACGAGCAAGGTCTTGCAATACGAGTAGTACGTATACGCTGTGTCTGCCGAGCATCACGTGATCACAACTGATATACGAGTGCTTTGATATACGAGTGCTTTGGATTACAAACACGTTTCTGGAACGAATTATGCTCGCAATTCAAGGTTTTATTTTACATACAAATATTCTGATTCTGTATATTCCCACTGCTGGGCAAATGCCTCCCCCATGTATGTACAGTACCTATATGAGTTCCATTACTTCCTTTCCTCATGTTATTTCCTGTTAGTGGCCTCCGAATTCTTAGATTTTATCCCGCCATCTCTTCCATTGTCTTCATCTGCTTCTTTTGCTTATCTCGCTATCCAGTTAATGTTTTCGCTCATCTCTGGTCTGTTGTGATGTAGCCTGCCCATTTCCACTTGATTTCCTTTTGCTTTAACGGCTGTGGCTCGCATGTGACGAGAGGCACAAGGAGGGAAGTGGATATTATTGGAGCTGATTACATTGCATGGGGGAAATCTCGCGGAAATGTTGGTAATGATTAGGAACTGTCAAATGCCCTATGGTGCCCTATACAGGCTGTTATATAGAATACAGTCAATAAACAGCAAGGCTGTTGGACAGTATCACTCGGTGCTATGAAGCCATTCGTCTTCAGATAGTCTAAATTATGAACATGTGTAGGAGTTTTCAATTTATGAATTTTAGAATTGAGCTTGATCCAGTACATTCTACGTAAACCAGACAACATCTGGTGGTA